AGGATACCTTATTAGCATCATCCTATTAGCATAACAGACTTAACGTCCTATCACAGAATAGAGGGTAGGATGCCTCATTAGCATACTGGGTTTCAGATTACAGAGCCTGGATTCCTGGAAACCACGTGACCCTGACAGTTGCAATATCACCCTGGGCTCAAGCCTATCTCCCACATCTCCCCCTTTTTTTATTTTTAAAGATGAAGTATATAGCATATTGATATCAGTCCAAATACATCAAGGAAAAGTACAATGGCTCAGGGAGTCATTGTATCAAGAGCTCCCTCCCTCAAGATGGCGAGCTTTCTTAAGAGCAGGTGGTACCAACTCCATGCCAACCAGTGGGAGTCGAGATTCTTTGCTTTGGCATTGTTGTCCCACCTCAAGGGTCATCCAGCATAATGGACTGTGCCTGTCTTAGGTTGTCCCGTCTGTTGGGATCTTACCCGTCATTGACTACCAGCCCTGGAAGGGTGGGTCCCTTTGTGTGGTTTGGCAGAGGGAGAGGCAGTACACCCAGTATTGGCTTGTTTAAAGGCCTCCTCAGGGGTCAAGAATTTGTTGAAACCCATCAGAGGCCAATTATAGGTTGGTAAGGGCAAGGAACTGTGGGTCCTTGTTTGCAGAGACATGCCTGGCAAGATCTGGAGGCGGGGCAACAGCTAGCTGAACTAGCCTTAACAAAATTAACAATGCAGGGTCCAAAAATCAGGAGAAGGGTTAACAAAGGGGACCAATAAAGGCAGACAGAAGTGTGGTACATCTGTAGTTCAGAGAACCATTGGCCAGGGAGTGTAGATTTTGATGTGGAATTTACCTCCTTTACATTGGCTACTTTAATAATCCATCAAGTAATGTTGATGGGTTAGTGGGGGTTAAGGGGAGCTGCTGACGTTTGGGAGTTAGCAGTAATGATGGCACACATTATAAGGAACATAGACAAGGGGTTCCCTCTGGTTTGAGGATTTTGATTTGCTATAGTCTCTGCTTGTGACGTGAGATACTCAAGGTCATCCCAGGTTATTGGTTATGCCATTGAAGCCGGTCACTTTCATGGTCTGTGATGCCGGGTCGGTCTCTCGGTGGTTGAGAGGTGCTTCACTTCCTCCAGGGTCAGGGCTGCCATCTCTGGGGTTGGTGGTTGTGGAAGGAGGGTTTTTGTCACAGGCAATTCTGATGTTTTGAACTGGGATCTAAATGGGGGCTAGATCATTATCTGGAAAGACACAAGCATAGCCTTGCCTTTGCATTAACAACAGGTGTCAATAATATGATGGACATATTTGAGCTTGCCAAAGGAAGGGGAGTAACGTCCATCTGCCAGATCTTGTTAGGGCAGGTGCAAGACCAATGACCCTGTCCTCCACAGGCCCAACATTTGCCTTTGTCCATCTCAGCCTGTGGCTGGTGAGCAACCAGTGCCTCAGCGAGAGCTGTGGCATGAGCTTGAGTGGTCCCCACATCCTGAAAGGCTAGAATCCATTCAGAGACATCCTTGTGTCTAAAGGATCCTATGGCAAGGCAACACTTGGTAGAGCAGCCTTCATATACAAGATTCTTGAGCAAAGCATCTGCGGCCCCCCGATGGCTGATTTTCCTATTAACACTTTGTTGGCACCTTTCAATGAAGTCAGAGAAAGGTTCACCTTGTTTTTGTATCAGTCTGGTCAATTTGGTATCCTCACGAGTCAGCATACTTCGGAAAGCACGGAGTGTGCAAAGCCACACTTGTTCAAAGTAGCAAGGAGGTCCCTGTGCCTGGGCTTGTGGGTTTCAAAAGTGCCATGCCCTACCAAGGTGTCAAACTCAATGTTTTGGACATTGGCATTTCTATTGCACTCTGCCTGTTGTTCATATTCGTCCTGATAAGCAGCATTCCATAAGAGAAAATCACCTCCCTGTAGACAGGCATGGGCAATATTCTGCCAGTCATAGGGTGTGTTGGCTACATGGCTGATTGTATCTAATAGCTGACCAAACCAAGGGTAATGAATGCCATCCTCAATGGCTGCCTTATCAGCTTTTGTAAAGTATCATGAGAATAAGGATTCCAGGCATTAGGGTTCCATAGTCCCTGACTGACGGTAACTGGGAAAAACTGTGGAAAATCACCCATTGTATCATAGGAGAGGGGCCTAGGTGGGAGGGGCTTCCAGTCCTCCTCTGGAAAGGAGAGGTAGATGGACTGGGGGGAAACCTCCTTAGAGCTAGTGCAAGATGGCAGAGCAGAGGCTGCCTAAACTTCCCATTTTACATCAAAGCCAATACAAGATGGCGGAGGGTAGCCACCACCCCGTAATGGTGGGGCGGGGTGATCTTGACTTCCTGTTTTTCATCAAGGGGACCCTTGGACCCTAATTCCTCGTTTTTTACCTCATTATCAGCAGTCATCGTTTCTGCCATCAGAAGAGAAATCAGTTAGTTTAGTTTTGACTAGAAATGCCTGGGACAGGCTGTCCCCACGATCCTTTTGCTTTATTTGTTTATGTTTTTTAGTATGAGATTATTCTACTCAGGGGCATTGGGAGGAACTCCCTGAAGCAAGGCCAGATTGGCAGTTACAATGGGGTAGAATGGCCCAGATAATGGATGCCCCTCCCTGACACAAGCCCATTGCTCTGGATCCCAACAGCAGGATTCTGTAAACCAAGGAACAAGAGCTAGCACTTCATCTAATACCTTAGTTACTTCCTTCTCTATTACCCTAATTTGCCTTCTCCTGAGGAGAGAAACCAGTGCAGCAGCATGGGGGCCGGCAGCAGCTGGATAACTATTCCCCATACTGGAGGTCACTCACCCTGCAAGATGTACCCAGAAAGACTCAGGAGCTGTTCAGGAAGACGATTGGTGGAGAAAGGAACGACACGCCAAACCAAAGACAGCAAGCCGGAAGAAGCACAGAACGAAAGCGGCGAGCACCCACGGAAGAATCACTGGCAAAGAGGGCATCTGGAGCCCTGAGTGTTACAGCTCCATGGGGCAGGAGTCTTCGTGCCCATGTTGGGTGCCAGCTGCAGTCACCGCCAGCGGTGGCCGCTCCTCTGTTCTCGTGGGTGCCGCTCCTTCGTTTTCATGTGTGTCGAGGCTGCTCCTCTGCTTGCCCAGGGCTGATGCTGCTCTTCTGCCTGCCCTGGGTTGAGGCTGCTCTTCTGCTCACCTGGTGCCACCTGTCACTGCTTCTGCCCGGTCCTGGACCCCAGGGCTGGTGAGGAGACTGTGTCAACGGAGCCACATTCAGACACAGGAGACCAGGTTCAGTGACACAGGTCTGCTTTATTGCAGGAAGGCACAAGCTTATATAGGGGTAGTGGTCCAATCACAGCACAGCAAGTAGGATACCTTATTAGCATAACAGGTTTAGCATCCTATCACAGTACAGCAAGTAACATACCTTATTAACATACAGGTTTAGCGTCCTATTAGCATAACAGACTTAACGTCCTATCACAGAATAGAGGGTAGGATGCCTCATTAGCATACTGGGTTTCAGATTACAGAACCTGGATTCCTGGAAACCACGTGACCCTGACAGTTGCAACATCACCCTAGGCTCAAGCCGGTCTCCCACACACTTCCAGCGGGGGTTTGATACCACAGACTAGCAAATAAAAAGCCCAGTGCCAGGAATGGACCTCTTTTAGAGTTGATGGGGGGGGGAGGCAGGTGTCATAGACCCTCAAACAGTACTGTTACTCTTCATTACCTGCCAGACCTTGACAGTATAACTCTATTGCTAAAGATAATACTTATGTGAGTTGTAGAACACACACAGAGAAATCAAGCCTATACTGACTTCAAAGCTTCATCTATCCTGGTTAGTTTCAGCATACTAGAAGGTGCTGAATGCTCCTGGAAGGGAAAAGGCAATCAGCTGGGTAAACTTACCCAGCTATGAACACTGCAAACTACAATAACAACTGGTATGGCAAGATATGTCCACTGGTGCAACAGGGGCACAAACATTATGGGACCAATCACCTTATTAAATTTAAGGTCCACTTCACAAGATGAACCCATACCTAACACTGTTACCAGGGCCAAGAACCTGTGGTGAGTCAGGTCATATGACATAGGGGAGAATGTACTGCTATTATTCTGCTAAATAGGCATAATATTAAGCTGATTCCTAATGACTTATTGTTATACCCATGGATTAATATATCTTTCATCTCTCACCAGAGAAGCTTCTTGCAGCAGATTGTGAATAACACAGAGACCCACACCTGGTCAACATGCAGAGAGTAAGAGGCTATGGAGTGCTCACCCCTAAATAGGACACCTGTATCACACTTTTCTCTCCAGACATTATGGAAGAGGGGGCAGAACAACTCTTAAGAGTCAGAGGTGGTAGATGAATACAAGGAAACCACGTTGTCTGGACACTACAGGGCAGTTGCACATATGAACCCACAATGTTTGTGACAGCATGTACAAGGCCTGTGCAAGCACAAGTCAGACAAAACCCTAACATGGATGAGGGAGGCAGGAAGAAGCTCCAACCCTAGGATCTATTAGCAACTGATAGCTGCTGAGAAAAGGAAAATCAGTTTTATTTAAGGGTGTGATACTTGCTAGACTATCCAGATGCCAAGGGATGGGCCCACATCCAAGATCATTTGGGAGCACAAATTAAACTGGGTAGGTCTTTAAATAAACGAAACTAATAGAGCAGAGGGGTAAGATAGTGGTAGAGACGGGAGAGGGGTGTCTGATCAAAATACTCCATATGAAAATCTCAGAGTAGGGGGCTGGTGAGATGGCTCAGTGGTTAAGAGCACTGACTGCTCTTGCAGATGACCCAGGTTCGATTCCCAGCACCCACATGGCAGCTATGAACTGTCCTTAACTCCAGGGGAATCTAAAGCCCTCTTCTGAGGGCATTGCACGACACAAGTGCACTCACATACATGCAGGCAATACACTCATACACATAAAATAAAAAATAAGTATTTTAAAATAAGAAAAAAAATTCTCAGAGTAGATATTTTTAATGGATCAGATGACTCAGTGATTCCACCAGTGGGTACAAATCCAAAGGAATGAAAACAGATGTCTGAGACATCTGCACACCTATATTCACTAGCACTATCCACAATAACCAAAAACAAGAATATAGAAATGTGGGACAGCTGACAGGGGAGAAGGCAGGGTCAGGGAGAGTTGGTACATTCAAATGATGGAACACTGTTCACTCATTAAATAGTGGAATACTGTCATTCATGAAATTAGTGGGATTGATGAACATACTGAGTTAAGACAGAGAAACAAGTATTACATTGCACTTGTATGTGGAATTTAGAAAGTTGATATACTAGAGTGGTGGTGGCCAGCTGGAAAGAGTAGGAGGGAGAAATGATGAACAGAAGATCAGTGGGAACTAAGTTATGTGTAGGTGGGAATAGGAAGATCTGGTGTGCTTTTACACAGTAGGGTGACTATGGCAAATGATGTGCTGCATATTTGAAAAAGGTACAAAAAGAGATTTTGAGTCTTGCTACCATAAAAAATAAGTTTTTTGGTAGATATGTTTATCATTTAAACATTACACAATTTATACATGTGAAAGCATCACAAGATACCATATAAATAAAATTTTTAGAAAGACATTGTCTCCCTGTAGCCCCAACTGGCCTGGAGTTCACTACCAGACTGGCCTTGATCTCTTGAAGCTGTTGCCTTCGTGTCTTTCTCAGCACTCACACATATTGACTGGGTGGGGTGGTCTGCTTGGACAAGACAGCTGGCGAAAAAAGGCTGACACTGGGCATCTCTTGTGTTCAAGCATAGCTAGGTCAAGTTGGTTTTCACAGTTTACCAGGTGTACAGTTTGTACTAATCTTGCAATAAACTTATGGTAAACTAAGTTTTGTTTCTTATTATATGTATAAAAACTAAGTTTGGCATAGTGGTTTTCACCTCCTTACACAGTTCCTTACTCAGAATGCTGTAAATCTGATAAAATGAGGTGCACAATGGTTATTTTGTATATCAGAATAAAATAAAAATGTCAGAATAAAATAAAATTCTTAATATTGAAAAAAGCTTCAACTAAAATGGAACCCAGAATTTAAAGTTATCTCTTTCATTTGGTAGTTTCTCTCTTGTCATAGACCAAGATGGGTAGCAGTGTTTGGGGTAAATGATCCAGGATAAGAGGTGCCCCTAGAGAATCTATGCCTGTACTTTGGTTAACCTTATCTAAAAAGAAGCACAAGTCCTTTTACAAAATCATTCACTTGTCATTTACAAGAGAAAAATATAATTTCAGTGGAAATGTTTGCTTTCTTCCTAACACCTCTTAATTGAACAGTCTAGAAATTTTAACAAAAGATTTGACTATCCCTCCCATTTAATATCCTTCACCTCTATAAACCTTACACACAGTACTGCAGCAATGAGTCAAAGTTGTGTGTGGTTGGGTTTTTTTTTTGTAACAATTAACCTGCATTTACCAAGGTATCTTCATATTCAGAAGCTAGGAAAGCCTTAAAAAAACTGACAAAGATGAGTTGTGTTTCAAAATCACAATCCTCTTTTTAAAGCTAATATTTAACAATGACAGTCACTTATGATCCAAAGATAATTTTCTGACTAAATTAAATGGCAGATGAAAAAAAAAAATTTCAGGAGGATGATTTTTTTCAAGACCAACCTGTGTTACATACAGTGAGTTCCAGGACAACCAGAGCTACATAGTAAGACAATGTCTCAAAACAAAAGCAAAAGCCTTATGAAAATTCTTGACAAGTCTTATGAAAATTGAAGATAAACTGTGTAAACTAGTGACCAGAATATCTACTTTCATTATAACCCTTTCATTATAAACTGCAAAAACAGATTAAAGACAGAAATGCTCACATGCTAAATAGGCCACATTATACCAAATTGCAATGGTTCTCCTTTTAAGTCACTCTGAAATTACTGAACCTTTTTCAAACTCCAGTCTGTCATTGGTTTCCAGTCTGAAGACTAATTCTTAACATGCGCTAATCAGAGTATTTTCTTTATAAGCAGACAAGCCATTGCTTTTCGTAAGAATCTTTTATTTATTATTAAAACGGAAGGTTAAATGGTACAATGCTATGCATCATCTCTCATCCTTAAAAACTGAACAAATGGATAAAAAGAGCAGAATGAGCATGTAAAAGACAAAAATAAGCAGACTATATAATGTTCCCTGCTAGAGCTATGGTTGGGTTCTCCATTGTGTCTTTATGGCTTGCTCCTTTACTACATAAATTGCTGACTTTTTACAAATAATTAACATATTTTGTCAATAAATGTTACACACAATTTTAGATGTTTCATTCAACTCTGCTAGTTAACTGAAATAGTCAATTAAATGTCAAACTGTTAAAAACTTAAGAGCCCATTCTCCAAAAATGCAGTATTGTATAAAATGTGTACAACAGGCTAATGCAAACCTAGCTGCGAAGTGGTGCAGTGCCAACTTTGGTCCATTTTATGTATTCTTATCATGACTTTACTCATCATGTTAGTCTTCTTGAATAAAATGATCATTTACATAAGACATGGAGAAAATGGAAGTTTAAAAAATTGTGCCAGCACTGAATTCCTTCATCATTTTTAATTAATTTATAACTAGATGCTTAAAAACTGGGCTGTTCCCACATACATATCTCATATATCAAAGATAAACATCATTTTCTTCTGGGTAACTATATGTCAAACAATCACTGCTTTAAAAAAAAAAAAAAGTCTGTTTTGTAAATACAGAATAAATTTTAGAGTTAACTCTATAAAAGGAAGATATTAAAAAACAAATTCACAGACCAACTTTAGATTGTTCCCACAGTTAATCCATGGGAACGTGTCCAGGAGTAGTATGGGAACATACGCACGTATTTACATTGCGAAGATTCAAATTTGCATATATCCAAAATGTAAGCCATTTAATTCAAAATTTTCTACTGAACATAACAAAAATCTATGAATAAATAAGGCATCCAGAAATTGTATCTGCAAGGAGCAAAGATCCCTATGACCTGTTTCACTTCATAGGAAGAGTCAAGTTGTCAAGGTGAGGCAGCAGAAGAGCTGCACATCACCAATTTTCAGCTGTTTATCTTTCTTCTGGCAGCTAAATGTTGCTTTTAAAAAAGATTAAGTGCTTGAGGGAATAAGAATGCAGCAGCAGAAAACTACAGGAGCCCACATATCCTTTTTCTTAATTTAATTTGTCATATATAAGGTTTTTATATACAATCAGTGTGCATTGTAACAGTTTATATTAAAAGTCAATCAAGTTCATCTAAATTGCTAACCTGGCTGCATAGCACATTTGACATTATTGCCCACATAAAAAGGGAAAACAAATGGATTTACAATAACTTTTGGCCATTTTGGATTCTGAGAGTGTTCATACACCTACCCTTTTAAACCAGATGCATCTGAAAAGTTTCCAGAGCATGCAGTTTAGAGTTTACATAGTATCTCACCAGTTTTTTTTTTTTTCTTTTTCTGTTTTTTACTACAAACACAACATTGATTTAAAAAAGGAGCGGTATAACATGTATCTAATAAAAATATTCGATATAAAAAGAGGACTAAAGGAAATAAGTGGCCCCTTTCCCCATTTTTACATTCTAAACAATGATTCCATCAAGACAAATCATTAAAAAGTGTTATTACACTGATTTTTAATAAGAAGGCCTGAGTTGGTAGGGAAAGGAACAGTCAAAAAAAGCCTGAGAAAGGAAAGGAAGTAAGAAAAGCTCATTTAATACATTTACAATAATTTACAGCCATCTTTTCTTTTGTAAAAAGGCATAATACTAGATCACAAACAGGAACTTCCCGGCTATATTACAGATAAGTACAGAATTTAAATATTCAAGCTTGTGATGAAAGCGGCAAGGTGGTCGCAGTGTACAATGTAAACAAGCAGCTTTGGAAAGTGAACAAAGTCCTTGAGTGTTTTTTCTTATTAAGAAAAGAACTCTCTTTCATTCCTTCCTGAAACATGATCACAGGTCAGAGTAAAGTTCATATACAAACATAATTTAAATGGAGGTCAGTCTAAAAATCACTGACGTAAAAACAGTTTTATTCAGCCTACATGGGAGGGCAGTGTTGAGGTCCCTGTTATAGTAAACATTTTCCATTTCTTTAAAAAAGAAAAAAAAAAGTACTACAATAATTGTAGTACAGTGCAGCATAATCCTTAAATATAAAAATATTCTCTTCTGTTGGGATAATAGACCTTGCATCCTGGAGAGAAGTAACAATACTGCTACTGATAAAAGATCTGTTTATATCTTTCAAGTCATGTAAGGCAATTACTGTGTTGGTTTATGATCTATGGCTAAATAAAGTCCAGAAAGACAGAGCATCAGTTTCTGTTATGTTTTCCGACTACTCCAGGTGTGCTCAGGTGTACTTCTATGTTCAGCCGAATGTTCAAATGGAGACCTAGAGCCATAAGGAGACCTCTGATCTAAAGGTGACCTTGGGCCACTGCTGGCAGCTCGGTGGTCCATTTGCCAATCTGAGTGATACCTATAATCCCTGGAAGATTTATGGTGTGTATATTCAGAACTTGTCCGATGGTCTGGATGCAATCGATGGTCTGAATGAGATCGATGATCAGAATGGCATCTATCCTTTAAACTTCCTTCCAAACTTGACCTGTGATCTCTACTCCTGTGATCATCTAGTTTTCTGTGTTTCTCTCTGTCACTGTAGTATCTAATAAAAGAGAAATGTAACCTTTTAGTCTAATTAATACAAGCTAAAATATTTCCAAATAAAATTGCACAAAAACCCATAAAAATAAGCTCAGTATCTTATTAAGCTTCAGAAAATAGCTTAGAATTGCTTTTTCTTCCAATGGGCTATCCACTGTACCACAGAGCCACCTCATAAAGTACTTAAATCACCAGAAATAGCTCTAAAAATTTAAGCGGTATACAGAGCACCTCTAATAACATTTAACTTCACATGCTCATCTTAGAGCCTGCAACTTTTTACTTTATGAATTATCAATACACCTCAGTAGTCTAGAAGTTGGAACTGAAAGAACTACAGATATCCAGAATTTCCTGAAACCAAAGTACCTTCCAAACCTCTAGGAAGAAAAAATAAAATGCTAGAATGTAGTCTGTGAAAAAAAAATTTCATTAGTTGATGATGCCTAATAAAACAGGCCTTCATTTGATTAGTTATATAATAAGCCAACACAAAAATCAAGAAATTTACTCCACATATAAATATGGTAATTTACTAAAAAATGAGGCAGCTGAATGAGAAGAAATTTCTAAAATATTTTGCCTTCCCAAATAAAACGTGCTGAAAATAATGAGGTTGGTCTCTCTTTTTGGCTATAGATTCTTATTACTGTATCCTCTACAAGTATGTGAAATTATAAGCATATGCTAGTACAAATATGGCTTTCTCCTTTCCTAATAGTAAATCATTCCACACATAATGTGCTTAGGGTGTGGCAAAGATTCTCAAAGAATTGCTGCTGCGAGCACAACTAAAATACAAAGACTGCCTTCTGGTTGCTGTTTCTTTTCCCTTTTCTTTTTGAACACTGGTATGTGAAGCAAGAGTCGCACACATGCTGGGCAAGCACTCTACCACAGAGCTCTACCTTCAGCCTTCTCAGTTCTTTCTGATCTTTTATGCTCAGTTTTCTCAGTTTACTTTTAGCAATGATCATAAATGTATTTTTACCAGTAAATTTTATGTTCCTATTTTTCCCCTCGTGAGATTTTTAATATACAATGCAGAATTCTCTCCACAGTGTTTATTTTCCCATCACAAGCTTGCATTTGAGCCAATACTCTCCAAAGTCAACTACAACAAATCCCACAACTTACAATTACTGAGCTCATATATATCATCTTTCTGTTCACACTGTACATTTCACTTCAATTTTATAGTTCAAAAACCATTTCAAAGAAAAATACAGTTAAATGTTGACACAAAAAACACTATCAATTTTTCTTATTTATAAGCTAGTAAGACCTTTTCAGCTTTCATGAAAACTATTAGGTCAACAGCCCAAATGCAGCAAATATACTTGAGAAAGGATGTGTGTAGGCAAAATTTCAAAAGTTGCTGTCAAGCTTACCTGCTGTCCTGCTTGTAGTGATCCCATTCACGATGATCTTTGCCATTACTAAATGAAGAGTAGGGTCTTTTCCTGGAATCACTTTTTTTATAAGAATCTCCCTGGTGGCGGTCTTTATGGTGATCATGGTACTGAGATAAGTGTCTGTCAGAAGAGTAGCTGTCTCTGCTGCTGTCGTCATGATTTGTGTTCTCCTTTAACCTTTCCATGTCTGCCAGACAAAGAAGTAGAAGGTTACTGACAGATTAAATAATGTGGTAAGAGTACTTACAATTAAATAACAATAACTCCTCCAAAACAAAATCAACTCTCAAAGTAGCAGAAGCATTTATAAACTAGTTAGTACTAGTTTATAAACAGAGTACTAACTCTTAAAAGATCACTTGGGTCTGAAATGTGAAAAACCACAAATGAAAACTATGGGACCCATACTTTTCTCAGATTATACTTTTCTGACTCATAGAAATAAAATGGACTATCCCAACTGATATAAAAAATAAGCATTCTTTTAAAAACTTGTCTTACAATTTCTAGAAACTGGGTTAAAAGCTTTTATGAAAGGAATAATAAGATAAAACATTATTTAAAATGTTTTAAAACGAATAGGTGGAAAACGATAGAGAAAGACATCCAATGCCCTCTTTTCTGGAATCTGGGTACCCATTTAGGAATGTGTACCTGCATGCATACACTCACAGACACAGACACACAGATAAATCTAATCGAATAAGCAACAAAAACCAAAACATACAGAGACGAAAAAAGAATTCTTGGAGCTGGAGAGATGGCTCAGCAGTTAAGAACACTGGTTGTTCTTGTAGAAGACCTGGGTTCGAATCCCAGCACCCACATGGCAGCTAACAACTGTCCATAACTCCAGTCCCTGGGGATCCGACAGCCTCTTCTGACCTCCACAGCCATTGCACGACACGGGTGCACTTACCTACATGCAGGCAGTACACACATATACATAAAATATTAAAAAAAAAAAAAAAAAGAATTCTTAAATGAGGAGGCAAGGAGGGGAAAGAGGAGAAGGAAGAGGAGAAATTCTTAAGTAGTTATGGTTTACCTGGATTTCTAATCACATGAGTATTCATGGTGCTGTTCTGGTCATTGTTTTGCTAGAATAAAATGTACATATATCAAAAGCTTTAAAGTGGTCTAAAATTGTCTTATATAACAAGGTGTATGTAGGGGGATGGGGCAGGCATTCTTAAAAAAGAAAATCTTAAGGTGCTGTGGCACAGGCCTTTAATCCCAGGACTCAGGAGGCAGAGGCATGTGATCACTCACTGTGAGTTCCAGGCCAGCCTATCTACATATGAGATCTAGGCTAACCAGAATTGCATAGTAAGACCTTGTCTATAAATAAATAAATAGAATGAGATCCACATATACTATACTAGAATATCTATGTAACATTTACAGTTCTTTTTAAATAAAACAGTTTTACCATGTTTTTTAAAATTGACTTTAATGTAATTTTAGACTTAAAATAGAAGCTAGAAAAAAAAAAAAAGTGATGTTCCCATATGCTTATTGCCATCTTCTAATGTTAATCTTCTATATGATATAGCAAAACCAGTGAACTTTGACTGACCCAATACTACTATCATCTCAACTAAGCCTTCTGGTCAGAGTCCACATTTTCCCTAAGACCTCTGCTCTGGGACCCAGTTTGGAGCCCACAGTTCACACAGTTATCCTGTCTGCAGTGGTAGGTCCTCAGTCTTTCTTATAGTCTATAACCTTGACATTTCTGTTAAGTACTGGGCAGTTACTTTACTGAATATCCCTCTAATCTAGTTTATCTGAAATTTTCCCATGGTTAGCTTCAAGTTACACATTTCTTGTCAATTTCACAGATTTCAGTATACTATTATAGCAGATGTCTTCTTTGCTAAGATTATTTAAGATGATGTTAGACCAGTTTCTCCTTGATAAGGATATTGTTTTTCTCATGTAATTAATTTTGTAAGTGACCTTTTGTACTACCCCAATATCCCACTAGTTTCTTGCCCACTAATTTTAGCTTCATTCTGTGGTTCTTATCAGCAACAATAGTAGTGTTCTAATAATACTTATTTTAGGCACTTCTACATTTGTTAATTGAATTCTCCATTTGTTATTGGATAACAAAGAACATATTATGATGTTAATGACATAATTTAAGGAATAAAATATTAATTACCTGAGATTCTTGTCTTTTTTTAATAGCATGCTTATACAATTTATGCAGTTTTCTAGCATCAAACTCAGTAAACTTAGATACAAAAATCCACAGGTTTCTAGAAGAAAAAAGTCAAATTAATCTGGTGGAAAATATTGAGTTCTTTCATAGAATCCTTTATACATCTGTAACACACTAAACATAATCATAGCCTTCTGTGGAACAAAGTCTAATTTTCAGAGACCTACAAGATAGCTCAGTAAGTTAGGGAACTGCTGCTGAAACTGATGACCTGAGTTCAATTTCTGGGTCCCACACAGTAAAAACACCCAACTCCCTCCCACAAGCTGTTCTTTGACCTCCATGCATGTGTCAAGGCACGTGCAGGCATACATATGTGTGGGCACACAGATAAAACGCAAAATAATTTTTCCAAAATAATAAAAAATTAATTTTCATGTTTACTTTTCAAATTTTCATGTATAGGTAATTAATTCTCTAAGGACAAGTATGGTTTTATTTCTCTTCCAAATCCTTTATGTCTTTTTTAATAAAAAGCAGTTAATTGATCCTAATTTGAAATATATAAAAAATATATGAACAACTCAGCAAGCATTCAGATTCATTCTGTGATCCAGGTTATGTGTATAGATAGCATCCCATTTGTTAGGACTTTAAGTAGAAACAACAGTGGATAACAGATTAAGCTTATAAAGAATTGTCTTAGCACATACAACAATTTTCTTTTTTTAATGGTAGTGCAATGGTAATAAGAGTAACATCAACTGGAAGTACAAATCATCCAAGAGCAGGCATCAGTCATAGGTTGTAGCGGTTATTTTATAATACATATGCACACCAAGTCATCATATTGTATACTTTAAATATGTACAGTTTCAAATTGTATATATTGATATTCAAATATCCCTCAAAAGAACTGTTAAGCTGGTTGTCATGAAATGACAAAAATACGGTAGGTATGCTTACCTGCAAACATAATTCGAAAGCAAACTTAATCAGAAAGCAAACTGAATGATGCCCGAAATCCACAGAAACACCGAGGCTCCTTACTCATAGTTTAGGGAACAGTCATATTTAGAGAAACTGAAGCCATGTATGGATAATAATAATAGCTTAAAATCATATACCAAAATGTTTGGAAGAGCCACAGGATTTGGCATCCAAAGAAGTCTCCATCTTGACTAACTTTGGGTTTTATAACCTTATACAGTTACCAATGTCTGAGCTCCAGTGTTATTATCTCTAAAATAAACTCTTTATTCAAACCCCTTATATGTAAACTGTAAAGACCCTACACCTACATGTTTTTCAACTGTTGACTACTTTTGATTATATTACAAGGAATGAGAGACAATCCTAAAGTACTATTTTCATAACAATTGGCTTTATCTTTCAATTGCAGTCTGTGGGAAACAGGTTTCACTATCCCCTTCGTGGATAGCTGATAACCATGATTGTACTGAACTCTGGATAAGCCACTAAAAGAAAAAAAAAAAGCATACCTTCTTATACATACACACCTATAACATTTAATTTATGTTAGGCAGAGTAAAAGATGAATTCTCTCCCTCTTCCTCACCACCCCCCCTCTCTTTTTTTTCTTGAGACAATCTCCCTCCATAGCTAAGGCTGGCCTTGAACTCATAATGTAACCTAATCTGGTTTCAAACTTTCAGTCTTCTCTACCTCAGCCTTCTGAGTGGTTAGGAATACTAGTGTGCACTACATCTGGCTTTCTTTCAATATTAACAAAGCCTTTACCACAAACTATGGCTTTTAACGAAGCCCATTACACCTGTAGAACTTAGCAGCCTTGTCATATGATTTTCTTTTCTTTATTAAGTTGAAAACTTCTTTCACATGGCTTATGAAACATGAATAAAAAGCTTTCAAAGCAAAAAGGGATGGGGGCAGGGACTGGAGAGATGACTCATCAGGTAAGGGTACCTGCAGCTTTTGCAGAGAACAACCACCAACACTCATGTTGGGTAGGTCACAACCTCCTGCAACTCCAGCTCAGGGATCTGACCCCTTCTTTTGGCTTCCTTAGGCATCTGTACACATGTGCATACACCCATACACATACAATTCATAAAAACACAAAAAATACACACTATATTGACAATTTACTTCTTTAAGCATTATTTTTTTCACTTTAAGTTCAGAAGTAGAAAAAAAGACTGAAAGCTAGTTAGATAAATAATGAGGAATTTAATAGTTCCTCAACAGTACATCACTTACTTTCTCCACTGCTTAATTTGCTCAGGATTGGTGTATTCTTTCAGGCATTCTGTGATATGGTCTCCAATTTTTATTAAGCACTGTCTAGTATGTTCCAGTTGTTCTCTTTCTGAAAGGCCTTTCTCAGGCCTATCAAGTTGTTTCAAAGCTGCTTTGACAGGTCTCATTCTTTCTTTACACTTGAAGATAAGAATATACACACGTATTAAAAATCTAATTCAGGTAAAACCTGTCATTCAAGATATTTATGAATAAATAACTGTCTGGCTTCAAAATAAGTAACTAAAACCTCACCTCACAGATTTTACATATGAGTAGTTTTTTTAACTTTTCTTCAGGCAAAGATGACTTTTCATTATCATTTGAAATCAGCTTTTGTGGAAATAAAAGCTTTTAATTGTATATAGCCTCTATAAAAATGGTTACTATTAATGCCACAGTGAACCATTCTAAGTAGTATTCAACACAGATGAATAAAAATATAACATGCTATATGAACGCTAATACATAGTGACGTGTTAAAGAAGATCTCTAATGTTGGAAAACGGGGAGTGGTTAGCAGAGATCAATTCTTTTCCTTAATAAATACGTACATGTTTATAACATGACATCAAAAGTTTGGGGACTGGAGAGATGGCTATGACTAAGTGAAGTAGAGTCAACAGAACTGCTTGCTGATGAAGCCCAGTGCAAGCTCAGAAAATCTAGCTTGAGTGTATATGCCAAGTTATTCAATTCTTTATCTCTAAGATGTACAAAATAACAAAGAAATGTATGCTTTGGGCATAGCGGGAAACTTCCCATTTCAGCAATTACATGAAAACCAGAAGGCAAAAAAGGGTGTGTGGGAAAAGAAAATAAGTGAGAGGCTCAATCTTACTCAGTGGGGCAGCAATGGGATAGGGGAAGCAGTTCAACAAGTATTTAAGGCTTTCACCTCAAAAAACAACACATCGCCCCTCTACTCCCACCTAAAACAGAGTGATTAAAAGAAATCAATAGAAAGGGGACAAGGAGATTAAGATCTAGATCACAAAAAAAGAAAAAGAAAAAAAAGAAGTAAAAGAAGAAACTCCAGTTTGTGAGCACAGAGAGATTAAAATTCAGTCCAGAAATAGCACAAGTAGCTCTGTAACTGTACTTTTATGTTACTGATCTATACTCAATATATTAATCTATATTAATCACTCTAATATTGTATAGGAATTGAAGTTTAAAGTCCTAAATGTAAAAGTTCCCTGTATTTTTTAAGCCTCTTTGTTTCATCTTTATTTTTTAAAAAATTGTAGCAATTATTACAAAGTCCAGTGCTTACAATACTGAAAGTCTTCTGATCCAGCTCTTCAGATTCTTCAGCTATGGGCACTGGCTCCCCACTTGCAGTGATATGAACCGGAGCATCTGATACCACACACTTTCTGGACCGTTCTTTACTTTCAGACTTCGATTCACTCATCTGGAAAAAGAGAACAGAAGTCTAGCAGTAAGGACAACTGGATTAGCTCTTTCAGAACAATTACTCTTTATTTTCTTCTACAAATGCTTGTTTTCTTTAACTAGTCATGTATTTTCTTTTTTCCCCAACTTCACATGGAGGGCCCTCTCAGTGCTTCAGTACACTCAATCACAAGGCCCACTTTTGACAGCGTATTTCCAAGCTGTACACTATTGTTCGGCTTTTCAATAAAATTACCTTGTTCCTTTGTAAAATAAACAAGCACCTTCTTTTGAATGTTATCTTTCAGGGAACTCATTAAAAAGTACTCAAACCTATTTTCTTCCTCAACTATATGCCTGTAGAAGCTTTTGGAAAACTCAAGCTACTAAAACTAGTTTGGGTTCACCTACTTTTCTCCTAAGACGTAAATAAAACTGTTTGACTTTCTAAGTTCACATTATGATTTGCCTATCTTTTGTTTCTTCTTTCAACATAGCTTCTTTTATAGTTCTTTTTTAACTTTTTTTAATCTTTCTTGTCCTCTATTTCTTTTACTTCCCTTTTAACTTCTCTTTTATTCTCCTTTTCTTTCCCTTCTCTTTTCTTTAAATTATTTTTTCAAACATCTGGCTCATATTTTTCTTCACTGTTTCTTTGTTTTAATTTTTTTATGGTCAATATATTACTAACTGAATTTTGACAAAGACTACGTTTTTTTAATGTATCTGAGTTCTGAAAGACATAACCCAGAATTCCTTTAATAATAGTACATGCAATATTTACCTCCCTCTAAAGTGAGTCTCATTCAAATTCCTAATAAAATTAAAGGAGATGTCTCATATAAGTGGCAAGTATCTGACAAGAAAAGACCACTGGCTCTGTGTCTCCTATGTACCTACCGAATAGGTAGTTATGACCTATAAATAAGAGAAAAAAATCCAATTTCTAAAGTTCCAATTCCCTTTCCATACAAAAGGTTGCTCTTCTAAGAATGCACTTACTTGTTAGGCATGGGGGTAAACATCTTTAATCTCAGTACTTATGGAGGCAGAATTCCAGACCAGCCAGAGCTAGAGTGAAACCTTGTCTCAACAAAAACAAACAAGAAACCCCACTTACTTTATCATCATCTTCATCAGATTTCTCTGAAGGCAGGGGAGAAGAGTCACTCTTTGATTCTTCTTTCAGTTTTAAGGATTTCAGTGCTTTATTCTTCTTAGTTCTTGTTTTTCTCCTTTTTGAGCCTCCCTAAAAGTAGTAATTTGTATTTAATCAATGCCATAGATTTAACACTAGTCTGGAACACATATTCCTACCTATATAGTCTGTACCAAGTTTAGAGTAAGTAAAGGAGATTAAACTTAATGCCTCAAATATATAAATGTCAAGAACCAATTGCAATTATTTCTTCAACATGAGAAATAGAAATAAAGTTTTTCTCTTAGGTTATCACCTACAACTAAGTTCAGTGGTACCAGAGATAGCAATAGCAGTATTTTTATATGCTACACAGGTTGTTGTCAACTCTGTGGTTATAGCCAAACTTTTAAGACTTGGAAATTGGAAAGACTGGGAAAAAAATCATTCTCAGGACTAGGGAGATGGCTCAGAGGTTAAGAGCACTTGCTGCTCTTGCAAAGGACCCAAGTTTGGTTCTCAGCAACCATATAGTGGCTAACTGTCTGTAACTCCCATTCCAGGGGATCTGATGCCCTTTTCTGGTCTTTGTGAGCCAGTTACTAAATGCAAGTAAATTACTCACACATAAGATGTAAATATATAAATAATTAAAAGAAAAAAAATCACTTTTTGGTGTCTTTTCTACCTTTGTGAACATCTCATAAAGAAAGCTTTAAATGGGACACCTACCTATGTCACATGCCTCCTCGTAAGGCTCTCAAGTCTTTGTGCAAGAAGGGATGAAAAATTTAAGAGCCAGAGGTAGTGAATGACTACAAAGAAATAGTGCTTTCCAAACAGCAGGGCACATATAAACTCACAGCAGCTGGGACAGCATGCAAAAGACCTGCTTAAGCTCAAGCCAGACAAATTCTCAGCATGGAGAAGGGAGGCAGGCCTGAAGTTCCACCTTTAACCAAGGAGCTACTGGCATATGCTAGGTGCTGGAAGAGGGAAGAGTCATTTTCTTTAAGGGTGTGATCCATGACCCCTGGAAGGTCGACCAAGCTAGGGCTGGTACCACTCTGAAGAGTATTTGAAGAACACAAATTGGACTGGATTGGGGGGAGTGGGGGAGGACATGAGGTGAGCATGAAGGGAGGTGGGGTATCTGGGAGGAGTTGAGAGAAAGGGGAATATGATCAAAATTCAATGTATGAAACTCTCAATAATATAAAAAATTTGGTGGGGGGACAATGACCTTTGATGCTGTCAAACTTTCTAATGCCTCAAAATAATACACTACAAAGGCACTCGGTCCCTTTTACACTTTCTCATACTGCTCCAACTAGAAAAAAATAGGACCCTTTTCTGAAAGATTGACTTACCACTCTTAACATGTATAGTGAAATAATTTAAGTCAAAATACTGTCATATCCAAATAAATTTACTAAATTAAAGAGAAATACTATTCTTAGATTAACTACAAACATCTAGCATTGTCAATAAGTTTAAGAGCGAACTGTTCTTAAGCATCCTCATTTAACTTACTGCACCAGCAAGTCTCTGAGCCTCTTTTTTTGCAAGATCTCTACTAAGTAATTTGATGAGGTAGTCTGCACGCGTCTGCAACTGTTTTGCTTGTGGTTTTTTATCGGGATCATCTGGAAGAATCTGAAAAAACAATGTATTTTTCAAGCTGTCTTCAATAAATAACAAGAAAAATGTACTGGGAGGAACAGCATATATATATAGCTCATAAGTAAAAAGTTCTTAGTATCTGCAGAAATAAATGTCTCAAAGCAAATACTTTTTGGGGGGAGCAGTTTACTTATTGCACTGCAGAGGGCAGCAGCCTGGGAAGTAACAGCACTGCTTGCAGCTGCATTCTTTATGCCCATATCATAAACAGGAATTTAATTTCCTTGGAAACAAATCCTTCCTTCCCTTATGTTTTGAGACAGGGTCTTGCTATTTCAGCCTTGGCTGGTCTGGAACTCAGTAAAGAGTCAAGGCTAGTCTCAAAGTTGTGGCAATTCTTTTGCTCCTGGCTCCTGAGTGTTGCAATAATTAGTGTGCAACAGTACACTTTCCCTCCTCTGCTCCAGAACGAATTCTATACAAATATACCTAAAAAGGAATCTCGCATACTTGTCAGTTGTAGAGGGAAACACTTGGGATGCTGGGGCAGGAGGAAGAACACAAGTTCCAGGTAGGCCTGTGAGACTGGGCTGCAAGTGAGACCTTGTCTCAAAACAACACAACAAAAACCAAACAAAAGAACAAAAAGCCCAGAAAACAACAACCGTCAAGTTAGGAAAACAGAAAAGTATATGTATCCTTTTCCCCACAAAAAAATATGCTTAACATCCAATTAAATGCAGTTATTTCCTTAGATTCCTTTCCTCTCAAAAACTGTATTTAACTATTAGTAAAAATGTATAAAAATCCTAGGATACAGTCTCATCTGTATAGAAGATGACCCAAAATAATCACTGTGAAAAAATTTTTACAGTGAAAAATCTATTATTGCTGGTTTTGCTTCATAGTAATAGATGATAAAGTACCAGGATGTACAGTTTCCCATTTGTCCACAAAGAGGTAAAAAAATAAAAAATAGAGGCAGAGGGATGACTCAGTAAATAAAAGTGCTTGTGCTCAAATCATGGGGGCCTGATTTTGATCCCCAAAACCCATGTAAAAGTGCTGAGCCTGGTGGTAAATAATTGTAATCTGAGTACTGGAAAGCCAGAGACTGGGGAATGCCTGGGGCTTACTGGCCAGGCAGTACAGCCTAATTGGTGAGCTTCAGGCCAGTGACAGACTATGTTTCAGAGGAGGTGGACAGCCTTCCTGATGACACCCAAGTTTGTTCTCTGACCTCCACACATATGCACCTGTGCACTCACAGACACATATATATACACATAAGCATAATAAAAGATAATATGATAAAATGCTTCCAAAATCTTCCATTTTGTGCTAAGAACTAGTTTTCGCTAGGATGACAGAATCAAATCATGCAAAGGCGTAACATCAATATTTTCTTAAAAGATAAGACTTTCCTGGACATGAGGATGTATAACTCTCATCAGAGCATTCAAGAGGCCAAGACAGGAGAATCAGGAGTTCCAACACAGTGAGACCATGCCGCAAAATTAATTAAAAAGACATTATAGGATTTTAAGGTTTCTGTCTTTTAATTAAAACATTTTAAATGAAGTATTTTGAAGAAAAATGTACCTTAAATATGCCTTAATAATAAAACCATAATTTCAGAAATAAAAATCTCTATGATTTAGTTAAGTCTCATGAAAACTAATTTCCAAAGTAGAAATAACATAAGTAGAGGCTCTATTTCCTTATTCTCAATTGAGCTTATTTCTAAAAGCATTCAAAACAAGAATAATAAATCGAATCCAATAGTAATGGTCAACAGAGTCAAGAAATAAGTACCTTGTGTGTTAAACTGAGGTCAGGATCCATTTTGATCATTTCCCAGCTTCCATATCCATACTCATAGATACCGATTAACAAATTGGAATCATCTTCTTTGCCCCAGTCTATATCAAAATGAGCTGCCTTTGTGTGGCATGGGATTGTGTACCTAGCATTAAAAGTGGCAATTACTTCAAGTTTACAATAGTCTAAAATATAAATTTTGAAATATTTAACTAAAACTTTTGATTCAAAATTAGTCAACAATGCCATAAACTTAACACATACTGATAATAAAAATACTGATTAACAAAAATCTTGTAATTAACTCACTGCTTTCTTTCTTCTGGATCTGAAGGAATGGATTTGTGCAAAGGTATCAATTCTTCTTCATGGGCGATGACTAGTTTGGCATTCACTTGTACTCCTGATATTCGGAATGTTGGCCCCTTCACTTTTCCAAGTCTACCACCTTAATTTTTGAAACAAGAGTATAAAAAAAATTGCTTCTATAACACAGCACATGCTATTAATTATGCTAATACTATTAATTATGCTACTAGTTATGGAAAATCTTTTAAAAATTTCACTATATACATACGAATGACATTAGATGTGAATTCACAAAGTCTTTTATGCAACTGGTTTATTAATTACATGAGGTACATTAACACTATTGGCATCTAAATAAGAATTCTGCTATGATATATCTTCAGTGTACCTGATTACTAAATCTTAAACTAGTTTTTTCTTCAGCCAGGCATGTTTGAAAATAAACATAATGAAGTGTGCATACTCCAAACCAACACCACCCACACATACTTAAACCAACACCACCCACACATACGTAAATTCTCTTCATCTAATTATGTATTAGCTGACAGTATAACAGTAATTCCTGAAAGGACAGATTCATTGCATTCTAATCACAACTCTGTTTTCTGCACTTCCCGTTACTCAGAATGACTTCTGCTGTGTCTGGTAAACATCTTAGGACTGACAAATAAGTAACTGAAGATATAATACCTAATCTAATTAAGGCCAGTTTTGAAATTTTCAGTTAATTTTAAAGCACTCTCAGTTGGTATATTACCTGTTCGTTCTGTCCCTGAAGAACTATCCTTTAATGCTTTAATGCAACCATTATGCACCAATTCTCCTAGCCGTCTAAGGTCTGTTTCTGATTTATCAACTAATTCGGCATCTCGAGCAATTGCATCTAATCTGTAATAAAATAATGCAAATTTCATGGAAATATGTTAAATGAAGTGGTGCAAGTAAAAAATCTAAGCTTTATTTTACTTTTAAGATCATCACTCTACTGCATATCCTATAAGTTCTAGTTCATACAACTGGCATGAAGGATAGGAAAACTAGGTCAGTAGAGAATAAATTCATTGCACACTCAAGGGCAGTAATAATGGTAAAGAATTCATTATTGAGCAAATGGTAGGCTCTGGAAGATTATATTCAATAGTCATGTAAGATCTCTTCAGATGTGATTTTTCAATAAGTACTGATTGATTGAGACAGGATCTACCTATAGCCCCAGATGGCCTTAAACTCAATATGTAGACCAGGCTGGTCTTGATCTCACAGAGATCTGCCTGCCTCTACCTCCAGAATAATGGGATTAAAGTGTGGTGTCCCTCTGGCAGACCAAATCAAACCTTAAGAATTTAAGAATGTCAAAAAGGAGTGAGAGGGCTGGAGAGATGCACAGGGGTTGAGAGCACTTGCTATTTTTCCAGAGACCCAGGTTCGACTCCCAGCACCCACATGGCAGCTCTGGCTGTCACCCTCTTCTGGCCTTCACTGGCACTACACACACCAATAATCAGGTCAACAATCAAAACACTTGTACAAGTAAAAATATCATTGAAAAAAAGGGGAGTGAGATCATTATAAATGAAAATGTCCAGAAAATAAAGACTAATTTAATACTACTTTCCATCATTTAAAACAATAATCCAAGTATATTTTGTTGGATTTTAAGCAAGTCAGTTCAAAATAAAACAGAAGGTATCTCTGTATCATGAGTTTTTATCAAAAATGAACAAACTCATTTTGAGTCTTTGCTGTTCTGTATTTAGATAGTGGGTTGCCTACAACAAAAGATAAAGACTATTCAAATCATCAGTACTTACGGGTATTATATTAACTCATACTTCAAGAAAATCTGGGCAATTTGATTTTTAGTAATATGTATACTACTATTTCCCTAGTTAGTGAAAACAGGACTACTCAGGGGTTAGGTTAACAAATTAGTCCCTCCACAGATATGTGCTCTTCCTTAAGTAGTTTAAAAAAAAAAAAATGGGATAAAGATTGTATATGTAACATGCATTAGTTGCCAAAACACAATTTAAGGTATGCTGCACAGAGAAAATTCGAGACTAAAAATAAAACACATTTTAATCATCAATCTGAAATTTTGTTCCTACTGTTTTTTATGTTTGTTAAAGCAAATTCAATCAAGTAACTCACTGAATGGTAATTAAGTAAATAAACGTAACAATGTTACACATTTCATAATTATATGAGAATGACTCATGTATTTACCTTTCCAGAGGGCCACCAAATTTCTTATAGCTCTTGATAAACCTAACAGAAAATAAATATTTGGTTTAAATGTGTTTCATAAATATATATATTTAAGTGGGCTGGGTATGTAGCTCAGTGGTAGAGAGCTAGTCTAGAATGCACAAAGGCCCTGGATTTGATTCCCAGCACTGCAAAAACCAACTACAAATAACATGCATACACAGACACACATACTTATATTCACAATGCATAAATAAGAAATACTTGTTAGAGCCAGGCATAGTGGTGCAAGCCTGCAATCCCACCACTTGGGAGGTGGAGGCAGGGATAGCAGGAGTTCAAGGCCAGCCTGGGCTACATGAGACCCTGTCTCAAAAAAACGAAAACCAAAATAAAACAAATAAAAGTCTCCGTTACAAAACTTAAGGTACTGTTACTAATTAAAAAAAAAAAAAATCAAAAATCAAATTATTCTATAAATAAAATTAAGACAGTTATACCAAATAAAATATTTTATCACCCAAGATGAAGATATCAATATAAATAAAACAATAGAAGCTAAATTTTATTTTAGAAATTACTTTATTATTTTCATAAGACAAAAAAAAAAAAAAAGGTTCAAAGCTACGACAGAAGTGGGATGTGTCTCCAGAATGAATAGTGACCATATTACGTCTCTTCACATTCCCAGTGCTGATAAAAATGCACCCAAAGGGTTTAATTCAGATGATTATACCAACAATGGAAAGCAAAAAGTTTACTTCATGACAAAACAACTTAAATGGTTGATGGATGAGGAATAGTATCCAGAAAGTAGAAGACGAAATACTTCTTCAACTAAAGACAGAAAGTCCAGCAAATCAGATGGTCATAAAAATTCCCTTAATGAAAACTAATAATGCATTTAGTTTTCTTGTAGGAACAATGAGGAAGAACTTTGTCTGGTCTATGATTTAAAGGAAAAGAGTTAAAAATGACTTGAAAGAAATAACAAACTTCTAAAACATAAAAATAACATTTCTCAAATTTTACTTGTAAAATTATTACATAAACAAAATAAGCTGCTATCTCATTCCCCTTCAAGATTTTTGCAAGTAAGCGTGTTTTGAACACAGGCAAGAATTTATGCTATGTGGTCAATCTTCTATTTTTACTTAGCTGTATCAGAAATAATATTTTATTATTTTTGTGATACTGATATAACCCGGGGTTCTTATATATGCTAAGCCTGAGGTGTACTGTTGAGCGACACTGCAGCCTGAGAAATACATGGCTACTTTCAAAAAGGCATCACCCCAGTGTTAAGAAACAAGAAAAATATAGAACTAATTATTCCCACCAAAAATGTGTAATACTGGAAATCTTAAATGTAGTATGAATTTTAAATGCATTTAAAATTATGTGTTAAAATGCATTATTCAAAAGAGTAATTCTAAATAAACTACATTAATAAAAACAAATAGCTTCAGTATTTAAATTGTGTTAATAAATAACATACAAACATTAGATGTTATACTTGTTTTTCCCCCAAAGGCTATAGATTTTTTTTTTTATCTAAAAGAATAAACACCCAATCCCTACTCAAATATATATTATTTTTCCCCTCTGAAACATTTGTTTTAATCTGAAAAATTGATGGATGTTTTTATACTTTAGTTTCATGCTCTAAAAGAAATGAAATTAAAATAAAATGGCCTTATATCCTCTTACCGCCTAATTTCTGCATCACTAAATCCTTTAATATTCTCCCGAGGGATAGTTCGTGGTCTTCCACGTTTCTTTGGCCTTTTCCTTTCTGAGACTGAATCACTATCAGATCCAGAGTATCTCCTGCTTCTACTGCGCCTCCCTTCACTTCCATTGAAACTTATCTAGAATTCAAATACAGAACTTATTCAATTTGAGCATAAAGAAAGCTAGAAAAACACTGTGAAAGACTGTAAAAGCTTTTATTCCAAAAATAAAATAAAAGAGAATGACACAACATGCTAATGACAAAAGGTTATCAATAGCTTAATATTTAAGGCACTCATAAATTAACAAGCAAACGGCCAGCCTTTCTGTAAAATTTGGCAGTGGTTATTAATCAACAATTAAATGACAAACACAAAATGTTATGATCGCAATAGCAATAAAATATAATCAAATGCAATTTCTTTTTAAAATCTATCAACTTGACAAACACTAAGTAGTAGTAACACTATTTGCAATAGCACAAAAATGGGCAAAAATGAGTACAACTCATGAATTGCTTGTGTTCATCTAAAACAGGACAAAGAATAGTTTGGCAAAACTATATTGTAAGCCTTAAAAATTGTCCTGTTGACCATTGCTTCTAGGCATATTTTCGTTTAACTATGAAGGTATACTGACCAGTTAAAATCCTTTACAGAAAGAAAAAGTACTAGGAATCTAAGCATTTACTAAAGAGAAACCAGACAAGACATCCACACAAAGGAATGCTGAGAAGCATTCAAAACTGTGTTATAGGATTAGCATTTCGCTGGAATTTGTCCAAAGCCTTGTGTGTGTGCTGAAGGTGTAAGTCAATAGATTTTACTAATTTTAATCTCATCTCACCCTTTCAAAAGGTCTAGTATGTTATGCTTCCTGTGAATAATTAAAAAAAATCATTTTAAAGTCTACCAAACACAAACACAAGCATAATATATGTAGCAATTTTAGGCCCCAAACTGTTATTTGGCTCTATTTCTGCATGCTCTATATAAAGTTAGAAGGAATATTGTTTCCACTCTAACTGAAAATCTAATCTACAGTGTCATAATTATTAGAAAAAAAAAAAAGCAGGGGACTGGAGAGATGGCTCAGTAGTTAAAAGCCTATACTGCCCTTCCAGAGGACTTGAGTTCAATTTCTAACACCCACAAGGGCAGTTCCCAGCAGCCTATAACTCCAGCACTGTACTCACATGCACAAGCCCACATATATAAATACATAACTAAAAATAAATAAAAGTTAAAATTAAAACAAAAATTTTAAAAAACCTCAAAACTGAAATCACAGGGCAATTTAATCTAAATTATAAGGAAAGTATTTCCAAGGAGTGATAAAATTTGACCCCTGGCTCACAGATGGGAGCAATCAAGCACCATACAAGCAGAGAACTAAGCAAGCTATGATGGCTGAAGGCTGAGAATAAACCAATAAGAGAACACAGGATAGACTCAGGAAAGCCTTGCACCTACTCTAAAGTACCATCTCCACAAACCTCTACTAGGTACTTAATAAAGCCTGGCAGAACAGATGATTGGAAAAGCTGTCCTCCAGTGTGTAGCCTAGGGAAAGGTAGAAGTCAACCTTTTCAGGATGAGCAGGAAGTCCTGTAAGACCCTTCTCTTTCTTACTGACTTGAGGGCATAGAAGACCTAACAGGAAGAAGAAAAAAAAAAAACTTTTTCAAAACCTGGGGGACATCACAAGGGACTAAGAAATTTCTCATTTGTTCAAAATTGAGTGAGGTACCCCCGCCCCAAATCTCAGTATCAAGACAATTTTTTTTTCTTTTGTATATAAGATCTTACTATGCAGCCCTGGCTGGCTTTGAACTCAGAGATCTCTCTGCCTCTGTCTCTACCTCATGGGTGCTGAGATTAAGAGTATGTGCCACAATACCCAGCAAGACAAATAATCTTGAAAAGCAGTATCTTAAAATAGCTTGGCAGAGTACTAATGCCAAAAATTTAAAGTTTTTGTTCATTTGGGCCTTAAACCAAACTTAATTTTTTAAATTCAAATTATTCAAAAGATGTTCTCTGATCATTATAGAATTAAATGAGACATCATTAATAAGCATAATGGGGGAAATCTCCCAACTAAATTATGGATCAAAGAGGAAGCCAAAATGTGAAATAATAAAGTATTATGAAATGAAGGAAAAGAACAGATTAAAATTGGCAAATTCAGAATAAGAAGTGCTTAAGAGAAAAATTATACCACTGAACACTAGTAACAGAAAATAATCTCTATTCAGTATCTAAGCTGAGTATTAAGAAAGCTAAGAGATGACTAAACAGATGACTTAGTGGTTAAAGAGCACTTGCTACTCTTGCAGAGGACCCAGGTTCAGTGCCCAGAACCCACACCAGGTGACTCACAATCGCTTCAAACTGCAGTTCCAGGGGAACAATGCCCTCTTCTGACCTTTACCAACACCAGTATGAACTTTGTGCACTTAGATGCATGAAAGCAAAATAATTCATTAACATATAATAAAAATAAATAAAAAAAAAAATAGAAGTCAATAAAACAAAGCTGGTTCACTGAAAGAATAAAACTGATTAATCTCTACCTAGAATAATCAAGAAAAAATTGCCACTATTAGGAAAGAAGGGCATTATTCAATATCCTAAAACATTAAAATGATAGGAAATATTATAAAACTCATGCCTACAAATTCAGTATCTTAGAGAAAAAGAACAAATTCCTCAAAAGAAACTGTCAATCTCACCAAGGAATAGATATCCTGAATATTCTGTATCTCTAAGGAAATTAAGCTAGAAATCTTCCAACAACAAAAACTACAGACATAGTTTCCCTGACATTAAATCCCAACATTTAAGGAAGAAATATTCCTAGCTCTACATAAATTATTCTCAAAAACAGGAGGGAATAATTTGCAACTTGTTTTAGAAGGCAAACAGTATGCAAGATGTTAAAAGGCAAAAACAAAAACAAACAAACAAAAAAAAACTATGAAGGAATCAATACTGTTCATAAGCCAAGCAAACAAAAGAGCATTCCAGGGTCAATACAATGCTCTTGATAATGTAGCAATATCTCAAAGTTACAAAGTCACCTGTTTTGCACAGTTTCTCATTCTTGGGAGCATATAAATTTCTTCAAGTTCCTTTTGCCTTTCTTCCTCTTCTAATCGTCTTCTTTGATCTTCTGGAATGATTTCCTCCCAGTTTTTTGAATTTCTTTCAGGTTCCAATTCAATGTCGTCTTCATCCATATTTGAAAAGTTGGCAACCTGATAAATTCCAGAATTTTAACAGTATAAGTATAATAGAAAAAATTTATCCCTAAGTTAAATATTTATGTTTTAAAGGAGACGTGGCGTGCCAGAACATAGTACTACAACTTAATTTGTCTACCACTATGGCTGATGCCTATAGTCCCAGATAGCAATCCCAGCTGAAACAAACATTAGTGCCCCTCCCATAATCTCAATAAAATAAAACCTAAATCTCAAGATAATGACTTTGAACTAAACTATGTATGACTGCTAATTATCAAGATTTAGTTCTTCATTTGGACAAAGTGGACCAAACCAAATGACATCTAGGAATCCTCCACCCAGGAATGCTTCAACATAATTATGACTGTATCAGAACTAGAAGACTTCAAACTAGAAGCAGTTAACAAAATAACAACAAAATAGTAATTTATATTATTAGTATGTTTAATAATCTTCTGTAGGAATTCCTAACTCTTTACTAAGTACTAAAGAACAACATCCTCCTTTCATAAAAAGAGAACATGAAAAGTCAGTAATAGGTTCTTAAGATCATAGGTAAATGAACAGGCTCTCTAAACCCCTGCTTCTTCCCATTTCTAAAGAAATGGAAAGAAACTAACTTTTTGAGGATAAAATAATACAATATCTAAAGGCTTAAGTACAGTATTCAATAAATACTCATTAAAACTGTCTATAAATATAAAATATAAGGCCAGGCATACCAGTGCATGCCTGTAATCACAGAACTAAGAAAGCTGAGGCAGGAGAGTAACAAGTTTCAGGCAAGCCTGTGCTACACAATGAAATCATATCAATAATAATAATAATAATAATAATAATAATCTCTGTGACTTCAAGGTTAGCCTGGTCTATACAGCAAGTTTCAGGAAAGCTGGGGCTACAAGGAGACCCTGTCTCAAAAATACCTCTCCCAAAATTAACAATAATGAAAATAAATGAAACAAAATAGGTAGTGTTAACCATGTAAGAACCAATTCACTGGTATAAAAATAATCTAAATTGGGCTACAGAGATGGTTCAGTAGTTAAAGAGTACTTCAGAAGACCAAGGTTCACATCCCAGCACCTACATGGCAGCTCAGAAATTCCAGGGGATCTGACACCCTCTTCTGGCCTCCATGGACAACAGGCACAAAGGTGGTACACATACATACATGCAGACAAAACACTCATACATATGAATAAATCTTTTAAAATAATAATCTATATTCATTGAAGATATTAGTGATTTTTTTCAAGTAAATAGTCAAATCAAAGGCAAACAGTATAACTTACAGGAAAAGAGAATTTGCCAGACTGAGCCCAGAATGACAGTTCCAAAATCTTCATATTACTGAAACAGCTTTCTATCTTGGCTTCCTACTTTATGGCTTGCCCCCACTACAGTTTAGCCTCTATTGTCAGATATCACATTTTATTCATTTCCACGTCCCTGGTACTTCAAGTACTCTGTTAATCTTTGTTGAATGAATACATGCTAACTGATCCCTAAAAACTTCAGTTTATAGAAACTGGTTCTGGTGCAAAGGAACTTGTTTCTTAAAATAAACACTACTCAAACTTCCTCCATGAAGTCAGTTGATTTAGCATTGAATTAGGACTTCTTACAACTCTTCAGCCCTTACAAACCAGGAATATTTTAAGTGATAACAACTAATTAATTTCTTATTTTGGCTGATTTGCTGGAGTTTTCTTATTTGTGATTAATTCTTAAATTGAGCTTAATACTGAAAACTGTTCCAATAAAAATCAGTATTGGGAAGAAGGCAGAGTGGAAGATACCCAGGGAGTTCAAGGGAGGTAGTAGTAGACGGGATGCGTATAAAATTCATTGCATAATGTAGAAATATTTAAAGACTAAAAACTAGTTTTGTTTTTTTAGTGAGTTAAGAGTCTTCAGTCATGAAAATCTGGATAAAGATCACATCCATTCATTCATTCATTCATTTATTTTTTAAAATATGTAGGGATCCACTTATTGACCATGATTCTGGGTGTGAATTAGAAACTCCTCCTACACAAATAAACGTAATTAATTAGCCATAAATAACAAAGTTTTCACAAAATACAGAAAATTTTAGGATAAAAAGTATCTTATTAATTATGTCTAAAGAAAGATTATCAAAACAGTTGTTTAAACCTTCACCACTTTTAATTATGAAAAAAAGAAAAACTACCTTGAATTGGGAAAGTAATTCATCTCCTACGGTTAGGGGGCCTGGCTCATTTTCATGAGTTTCCGCTCTCTTCAAGATTTCATCTATATCCATTTCCTGTATTAGAACGAAATTCTTATTTTAAAGATACTTGACTCCTTCCCTCCTATCAAACAAGGTAACAACACATATTCTGAAGCAACTTTTTTTTAACCTGGGGCTCTTGTTCTTCTCCTTCAGGTTCCTTAAAAAGCTCCTCAGCACCAAACTTTAAGATGGCTGATAATTCTTCTTTATTGAAAGGGGTAGAACTGAAAATAGGAGAAAACAAAAATACAGCATTAACAGCAATGTTTTAATGGCACTTGCAGTGTGCTGACATAGTCACCTATGAAGAAGTCAAGGTTTAGTCTGTTTTAAAACTTAAAGGAACTTGAAGAATAAAGGTTAAAAAGAGGTCCTCCCAGCACTCGGGAGGCAGAGGCAGGTGGATTTCTGTGAGTTCAAGGCCGCCATGGTCTACATAGTGAGTTCCAGGACAGCTGGGGCTACAGGGAGACCCTGTCTCAAGAAGACCAAAAAAAAGAGGTCCTCTAAGGATGAGAAATCTGTAATGGTGAATCCAGGTACCTGAGCGTATGCCTCTGATAGAATTTGCTGTCTCCAAAGTATACAGTTATCCACACTAAATACAGCACATTAGTCATCTACTTACAGTGGTATAGTCACAAAAATGAGTTTAGGGTGACTCTAATGACATTTTCTACAGTAAAGTAACCACCTTGATGGAGCAGAACCTGTGTGCAGTACAGTCTTCCCAGTGGTGTCCATTCTCTGAATCACAAGATGATCTAAAACCATTTTCTTTTTGGCCCTTTCAAGAATATCTTCTTCAACAGATCCTTTTGTAACTAGACGATATATATTCACCTGTAAAAATAGGCACGAAGAAGAAGCAAACTGCAGTAAAAAGGATTTGTTTTGCTAACCCAGGTGCTCAAACAGTAGTACCTAGATCAGTTCGTCCCCTATTGAGTTTTTAATGGTCTAAAGTAAAATGAGAATTTAAAAATATGCCCAAATAGCTAAAGCTCAAGTTTTACCATTTAAGATACTATTCTAACACTGTTCTTTCTTTCACACTCTTAGGGAAATTTTACTTGCTTATTTTTGTTTAAAAAAAAAAAAAAAAAAATTAAAAACCTTATACGCACCTCTGACCATCTTATATTATACCAGGTTTCTTTGATTTTAATTTTTCATCATATTTTACACATGTACATACATTTTATACTATATATGACAAAAGTATATGAACTGTACCCCACATTAATGGAGAAGCCCTATCATGAACTAAAATGTCTCCAACTGACAAAAGTTAAATAATCCCAAACTCTCTAGGTCAAAGAAATTGTATTACCATATAGGGGTGTTTTACTGGAACAGTGCCAGGTGGCTGTATAGGATCTGTTAAATGGAACAGGCTCTTCTGTATAGAATCTTGTAAGCCCCTAACAAAAATGGTAACAGAAAGGTAGCCCTGTACTACTCTGTCAAAAGTTAAAAAATGCCAACAAATGACGTTTTCAGATTGAATAAAAATCATTCCATTCCACAGTTACAATCTACGCAGAATGCATACCCTGACTTAAAGAGAGTTCTCTCATTTTGGTCAGAGGGGGTAACTGTGTAGACTGAGTCCCTTGCTATTCTATTTCTTCCTGCTATCTTGGCCAAGTGTACACATAAAATATGTTTTTTTAAGAACAAGAAAAGACTGTAAAAAAGTCAAATTAACAAAAATTAAAATACCTGTTTCTTCTGCCCAATTCGATGAGCTCTTGCCTGTGCCTGAAGGTCATTTTGTGGATTCCAATCAGAATCAAATATAACAACAGTGTCAGCAGAGGCTAAATTAATCCCTAAGCCCCCAGCTCTTGTAGAAAGCAAAAAGCAGAAATCCTGTAAGGAATTGTAAATATGCAAGATTTTAAATTCTTCTAGGTTGTGACCAAACATCAAACTGAAAATAATTTTACAAATGCTTTTCTGAATTTAAAGTGTTTTACTAATAAAACTGTAAAACTGAGGGGCAGCAATGAAAATTAACTAATGCTGGGTTATGGTTCAAATAGTAAAGCACTTGCCCTACCATACACAAGACCCTGGGCTTAATCCCCAGGAATGCAAAAAAAAAAAAAAAAAAAAAAAAAAAA